AAACACAGAGACACCCTGGTCAGAAACTGCTGGTACCAGTGTGTCTCCTAATATTTGGACCCATTGGATTAATAAAATCACCACATTCAGTTTCAAACTATAGATATATCTGAAAGGTCTAAAAATTTATCTTTTAAAATGTGGTTCTTACTGACTTGTTGGGCTAAGTAAATGCTACAAATACCAAAGGATGTTTAAATACACAGCAGTACTCCTTGCTACATTCTTATTTAAATTTCTATATAAACATTGCTTTAAAATAAGTATGATTCAATACCAAAGAGGAACCTTCTCCCCAGTGTCCTGTGCACCTGCTCCGGGGCTGGAGCCTGTTCTGGGTGGATCCTGAGTTCCCCCTGCAGCTCAGCTTCTGCATTGCAGGGAGGTTCCTGTCGGGCTCACAGAGCATTCTCCTTCCAGCATCTCTAGCCCAGTATGAAGTGGCCGTGCCCTGGCTCAGGATACTCCTTCAGCAACACCATGTGCTGATGATACCACCCCTCCCAACAGGAAACAGGCCTCGGTGAACCCAACACATTCTACAGGGAGACCTCAGCACAGCGAGCAGTGAATCACTATAGCCACCAGGGAGCTGCTCCCCAGGAGCTCCAGATGCACTTGCGCTGATGTGGTCCAAACACGTGGCGAATCTAGGAAGTCATGCGGACTTTGGGGGAGTCTCTTTTATTTTTTAAAATTCTGTGGTTGAAGATCAGATCAGATTATATAACTTTATACCTCTCTCTCTCTCTCTCTCACACACACACACACACACACACACACACACACACACACACACACACAGTGGCATAATTGCACATTAATGGACCTCAAGTTTGACCTGTTTTCTGGTATCTTGCCAAAAAAATTTTGCTGCCACCACTGACCCTAGACCTGGTTGTGTTGTCGCTTTTCCCTTTTGCAAACAGACTTATGGAAGCTCATTACAACTGGAGACTTGGGAAGTGTCTTCACCTTGTTTCTGCCCATTTTCACCTGGGAAGCCTAAAGATGCCCCATGAGACGTGAATCTAAGGCCATTGAATGAGGCCATGACCTAGGTCCTGAAGCTGCTGGTGTCAGAGGCTTCAAATTGTTCCTCTGTGCGTTGCCACAATTTCATCTCTACCCAGCTTTATCATACTCGTAAGGAAGCACTGGGTGGGGAAGTAATGGGTATTACATGTTCTTAAAATTAAATTTCAATGTTTTCTTCATGTTCTTTACGGAGGCTGTGTTCTTTATAGGGTGTCCCTAGTGGTACAGCTAATTTTCCTTCACCCTCTACTCCTTCTCCTGGCTTCAGCATCCCTAGGTTATTTTTGTGTCTAATTCATTATGCCCTTTATGTAATACAAAAAGGATGTGTGGAAGCTGTCTGGGATGGAGATTCCTTCCCCTTTATACAACAAAGATCTTCAAAAGTCCTTACCCTGCAGGGTCTGTGTAGAGAAGGTTTTAAGTATATTTCTCAGAGACCACTTCTTCTGATGATAGAGCCATGAGGGAATCTACTTTGATTTCCACCTTGAGAACCTGGAGATTTCTGGATGGAAATCCCACAAGAGTGAGGGGTGTGTGGCCCCCGGGAACTCTCACCCTTATTCTACCCATGCCTGTCCTGACATTCATGGTAAATACTAGGTAAGTGTTCCCACCAACTTGTGCTGTCAACTGATAAATCACACAATCTATAACGTTAGAAAGGAGACTTTATTTCTAGTGAAGGTTTGAGCCTGCAGGATGGCCATCCTAACACGCTGGGAAGCAAAGCCTCCCACAGAGACTGGGAGCACGCACTTCCACTAAGGGAAAGATGAGAAATGGATTCATGCTGAATAGACTGGCCAAGTGTGCACACTCACAGGCTATAGAAGGAGCTATGAATATTCACAGATGGGCCAGGCTAAGCTGTGTGATTAGCAAACACACATGTTGTGTGCATTCCATGTTTGCTTCGGGGTGAGAACTTCACATCTAAACGCATTAAAATTGGGTTCTGTACATAAGAAGGTTTTTAAAAGTACAGAGGCGCAAAGACAAGCAGCGCACAGCCTCTGTAACCAGCCAGGACAAGGCCATGCTCAGCAGTCTCTAATCAGGAGAAAGTCTCTGAAATTGGCCTCGACGGCGGAACGGGGCACAGTCAGCCAGCTTCTGGCGTCTGTGATCTGCGATTGTCTAATCTTGCTTGTCTCAGGACCAGTGCTTGGTTAGTTGCCAGAGAAAAAGAAAAGCCTTGTGGCTGTTAGAAAGAACATAGTTTAGGCCGGGCGCGGTGGCTCACGCCTGTAATCCCAGCACTTTGGGAGGCCAAAATGGGTGGATCACCTGAGGTCAGGAGTTCGAGACCAGCCTGCCCAACATGGTGACACCCCATCTCTATTTAAAAAAAAGAAAAAAAAATTAAAACAAAGAACATAGTTTATTACATAAATGTGGGTGTGCGTGACTAGCCCTTACCTCACGTGGCCTTAGCTCTTCAATATAGTGTGGTATCTTATTGCCACAAAGTGTTATATGAAGAAGGTCAACTATATTTGATATTCGTTATGCTGGTCACACCAGTGAAAAAAATCTATATAGTGTTCTGCACATATCAGAAAATAGGGAGTGAGAAAGTCACAAACTTGCAAAACCAGGAGACATGTAATATATTCCGTATTCAGCTCTGTCTATTCTCTAGGAAGATAGGTTATATCTGCATGGAAAATGAGAGAAGTATTTTTAAAGGTAATTCTCGAGAAAAGTTCTATCAAAGTTACTCAGATGAGGTTCTGACACAGGACTGTGAAGGGGACGTTGACCCATAGTGGTCACTGTCAGCAATATGGGATGCTCAACCTGGGGGTTTCCTTTGCCAATGTTCTGTCCACGAGAGACGTTATGCTCTAATGTGCCATGTTGCAGGTGAGTTTCTTAACCTCACATCATGATAGGAACGTGAGAACAGAAAAGATGAGAAAAGTGAAGACCACGCTACATCAAATAAGTTCCACTGTTGAGAACTTATCACACAGAGATCCAGGGATGAGCGGGGAAGAGGAAGGGGCTGGGAAGCATCATCCATAAAGGGACACATCCAGCCTGCTTGAGCTCCCCATGGAAGTAGGGTTTAAATGTTTCTTCTCAGCTAATGGTGGCTATGTCAGGACCTCCACCAGCTTTCATCAATACAGATTTCTTAGTAAACAAATGCCCATACTTTATTCAGGGTGGATTTTTTATGCTTATTTTCCCTTTCTAGGAAGCACCACAGAAGGATCTTTCCATGACACTTCCGGATCCTTCTTGAGTTCCTGGTGCAGGTCCTGGAGGTAAAGCCTGCAAGGCGAAGTGAGTCCTCCTCATGTGCAGTCCTGAGGCTGTCACCTCACCTCACCCACTACTGCCCTTCAGTCACTAAACATTTCTGAGCTAATTTTCCTGAAACGTGTAGTATTTGGTAGTGTCTTCCCCAGATAAGAAAATACTTAAGTTCTATTTACTCCTGCACGTATCCGTTTCTGGAGCTCAGGTGGTTTTTGAATGTGTAGTAGTGGATAATTAGTGGAAGGAGGTTTGTGTGCACCTTACCATCTTACAGAGTGCACCCCACATGACACTGACACCAGTAAACAAGCAGATGGACTTGCTCAGCTGGAGGATGACAGGCATTTTTATAACCTGTGACCCCAGTGAGGCTCTCCTGCTGCAAGACCAGTCAGGCTCAGGCCTCTTGACAGTGTGCAGCCAGCACAGGAAAACAGTGCCCACCTCGGAGAGGGGTTTTCCAGGTGCCCACCCTCTTCCTAAGGGGAGCTTTTGTCCCTGTCTGGATCCTATGCATGTGCTTGCATTTGCTGCATAAAAGACCTCAACCAGAAACACCACCCAGGAGCCTACAGTGTAGATAATCCGTCTACAGGGCCTCGTACCTGACATCTCTCACGGCCAAGGTCTCCATTCATTTCATTGGGGGATTCAGTAGAACTTCCTGGACTTTCAGAGGCATGGACATGCCTCTAAAAGTTTAGACATCTTACCCTCTGAGAAGGGGCACAGTAAACCAGGAGTGAGATCAGTTCTAAATCAATACAGGTTTTGTGGATCTTGGAAGAAAGTGTCCAAACAGGAATAGCCTTACTCACTTTCCCTCTAAATAATACAATTCCTAGAAACCCTCTGAAAATACCTGTGGTGCTCCAAGATAATTTAGGCTTGTTATACCGGGGGATCACCATTGTGGTTTCATCATTTGTAACTTACTGGCGACTCTGGTGCAGGATGCTGATAGTGAAGGAGGCCGTGCTTGTGTTGGGCAGGGATTCACGGGAGCTCTGGTACCTTCTGCTGATTTTACTGTTATCCTAAAACTGCTCTAAAATAAACTTTATGCAAAAACAGTGACAGAGAGATTCTTGGAAGACATTTTGGTCATTTCTTCAGAATCATACTTAGTCTTACCATGTGACCAAATAATCTTGCTCCAAATTACTCATCCATCCAATTTGAAAACTTGTTCATAATAATATGTTCATGGGAATATTTGTATCAGTTTTATTGATACGGTTTGGCTGTATCTCTACCCAAATTTCATCTTGAGTTTTAATAATTCCCACATGTCAAGGGTGGGCCAGGTGGAGATATGTGAATCATGGGGGTGGTTTCCCCCATAATGTTCTCGTGGTAGTGAATGTGTCTCACCAAATCTGATGATGGTTTTATAAAGGGGGGTTCCCTGGCACAAGCTCTCTCTTGCCTGCTGCCATGTAAGATGCCCCTTTACTCTTCCTTCATCTTCTTCCATGATTATGAGACCTCAGCCGTGTGGAACTGTGAGTCCGTTAAACCACTTTTCTTTACAAATTACCCAGTCCCAGCTATGTCTTTATTACCAGCATGAGAACGGACTAATACGGGGTCTTTCCTACTCTGTGAATTTTGCGTGTAGGGTGATTCTTCAATAAAATATTTCTCATAAAATTACAGTGTGCCATTGTTTCTAGTGCTCCTTGTCCTCAGTTATTTAACCCACCTTCTAAACAACTTTAAACCTCATAATCCCTGTCATCTCCTCCACACCAGCACAGCTGCCTCCTCCCTGGGGTTTCTGACATTCTCAGGATGTGGTTTTCAAACTGTGTCTCTTGCACAGTAATACATGGCCATGTCCTCAGATCTCAGGCTGCTCAGCTCCATGTAGGCTGTGCTTGTGGACATGTCCCTGGTCATGGTGACTCTGCCCTGGAACTTCTGTGCGTAGCTTGTGCTGCCACTACTAGGGCACACGTATCCCATCCACTCAAGCCCTTGTGCATGGGCCTGGTGCACCCAGTGCATACAGTGGCTAGTGAAGGTGTATCCAGAAGCCTTGCAGGAGATCTTCACTGATGCCCCAGGCTGCTTCACCTCAGCCCCAGACTGCACCAGCTGGACCTGGGAGTGGGCATCTGTGGAGAGGACACAGGAGTGAATAAAATCCTCTTTGACTGGACCCAGTCACCTCCTCAGTCCTGGGGACTGAGAATGATCCTACCTGCAGCTATGACCACCAAAAATAGGATCCTCCAAGTCCAGTCCATGGTGAGGAGCTGTGCTCTCAGGGCCTTCTCTGGAGGAGAAGTGTGGTTGCTGGGTGATGCTCTCGGGACACAGATATATCTGGAGTATCTACCTCACGTAATTTGCATATTCATGAGCACTACTACTTCATAGCCTTACACCTGATCCAGCATGGGAAAGGGAAAATAGATCTCACATGAACCACAGAGCTGTGGGGTGCAGAGGTGCACGTCCTCATTCTTATTTAATGTCGTGTGTCCCTTTATATGCCCAGAACTTTGTGAAGGGAGAATTTCTCCACTGAGAAGCCAACTCACACAGGACATGGTTCTCAATGTGAGCCCAAGTTCCCATGGCACATGCACAGCCTCCGCCCTCTCCAGGCTTTGCTGTCTGCAGTCTTATTAATGTGTACCTTTATTAAATGTGTACCTTTTGATTTAATAAAACTATCCTGGTTCTTTATCTTTTTACTAGTAAAATATCTCAAAGCAGTAACAATTTTGCCTTTTAAACGTGATTCTCACTGAATTGTTGATTTATCTCTAAATGTATTAGGGTATTTAAAGATACATAAATCATCTTTGTAAAATTCTTATTTTACTCTTTTATAATTTTTTATAAAGTAACACTCAGTCCCTGTAAGAAAGCCCCTCCGCACCAGCTCTGGGGCTGGAGCCTGTGCTGGGTGGGTCCTGGGCGCCCCCTGCAGCACTGACTCTGCATTGCATGGAGGTTTCCATCTGGACTCACAGAGCATTTATCTCTCAGTGTCTCTAGGGCTATAGGGAGTGGCCGTGCCCTAGTTTAAAATGTTCCTTCAGTGACTCCATATGTTACTGACACCGTCTTTTGAAATCACTGGCCTTAGGAGACCCAGTGAATTCTGGAGGGAGACCATAAACAAGGATTTTATTAAGGAATTGGGGAGCCCCTTCCCTGGATCTCAGGATGCATTGAATCAGTGGACACATAATGAGCACAAAAATTTTTAAGGGTTTTTGGGGATCCTTTATCTGTTTTAGGCTCCTGCAATTGACTATGACATCTAAGAATACCTGTAGGTATATATGCCTATGGATCAATGCCCACTCCACCTCTTCTGTTTCGATAACACACACACACACACACACACACACACACACACACACACACACACATACACAAACATGCACTCACACTCACACAGAGCTAGTTGATTTTTACAATAATGGGCCTCTAACTTGCCCTTTTTCCTAGTATCTTGCAAATGGGGAGCACCTCCTGCACTAATACTAGACAGGAGCATATGACTTCCTTCTGCAAACAGAAGGAAAACAGTATACAACTGAAGACATAGCATGTGCACGTTCATCATATTTGCCTATTCTCACCCGAATATTGCAGTTGCCCTAAGAGAAGTGACTTTCTGTCCAGCAAGGTTGAGTCATGACCCTGGTCATCAAGCTATTGCTGTCAGAGGCTTCCAATTGCTCTGCTGTCCTTGAATTTTTTCTCCCATTGTCTTTGCATTTCTCTGTGTTCTTCTCCCTAGATGGAGTCTGCATTGCCACACTCATCTTCAATTTAGATTAATGATACTGATGAGAAGGTGATGTGTGGGACAGGGAGCACTGTGTATACATATACATATTTCTTTTCTAACAACTATAGGCCTTTGCATTCAGTTAAAAGGTAAACAGATTCACATTGAAGGCTATTCCGTTTAACCCAAGTTCATATTCCAGTTCATCTATCCATCCCACACTGCCATACATCTTGAAGAAATGACTGCCAAAAGACTTTTAACTTCTTCTTAGCAATTATCTTCAATGAATTGCTCGCAAATAACTAATTCCCAGCTTAAATTTTTATTGTGTTCAAAGGAACTCGTCTCTTTAGGAGGTTTCCACATAAGTCAATAGAATCTGCCACCACTGACAGGAGGGCAGAGTACCAGTGACTCTAATTACATGAGCTACGCCAAGGAAAGCTTCAGTGATAATTGTGTTGTTAGATTCTGTGCTTGTTAGGGCAGAAGATGGTGAGGATAACAAAGCAGAGCTCACCTGGTCAAATGGCTGTGTGCTTGGTTGGTTTTAAAATATCTTTGGCATCTTTAGCAACAACATTAAAACAATGGAATTGAAACCTGATATAGAATGTACAGAAACATGCGCAGGAATAGGCAGCCAAGAAGCATGCTGGACGGTAGCACCAGTGTTTTCTAAAGGTTTATGTAATAAAGATACAGAAGATAAGGTACATAAATCGTTTAGATGGGCCTGCAAACATGGGTTAATATATACATGCAGATTTTCCAGGCCAGTTAGTTTAGAGATCCTAAAAACACTGACACCTCATTAACACAATTTTGTATTTTAATGTGATTATTTAATACTAGCAACTAGAAATACTTGGAGAAACAACTGATTCTATCTATGGAAAACATAATAGAGAAAATGAGCTTAGAATTTCTTGTAATATCAGGAAATAGGGACGTATTCAAAAACAAAGAATGGGGTGTGCTTTACAGAATCCAAACTAAAAGAGCTAACAGAACCTAAAAAACCTGTGGTGATTTGAGAAATAAAATGAATAATATAGCATTGTATCTTCTCCAGATCATAAAGTTAACCTCCATGAACCAATACTAACAATTTATTAATAAAGAAAATTAGAAAAAAGACAACTCCCATGCAGAATTCCAAATAGCTCAATAATCCTCCCACCTAGTAGGTGAAACATAAACACTTATGTTGTGATTGTGGCATGAGATTAGAGACAAAGAAAAAAATCCTGTATCAGTGAATATCATAACGAATTTTTAGATGATCTATGAGAAAACAAAATTATTTTATTCAAGTTTACACACACACACACATACACACACACATATATGTATATAAATATCTTTGGAGAATAGACTTGCAAGTCACATATTTATTAAAGGACTTTTGGTCAACTTGGTAAATGACTTTTATAATTGGTATGTAAGGACCTTATAACTGATCAAAAGAAAACAATGCAACAAAATGAGCTAAATATCAAAACAGACACTTCATCCAAATTGCCTAAACATATTTAAATATAAGATGCTACTTCGGGACAGGTGCATTTAAACAACAAGGAGACATCAGTACTAATTTATTAGAATGGTTCAAATCCACAATTCTCATGATGCCAAATGGCAATGAGGATGTGGAAGAACTCGGTCTATCATGCATTTCTGGTGTAAATCCAAAATCATAACTGAACGAAATATGTTGAAATATTTTGACACTTCATACAATGAAGATAAAAGTAGAATTAAAATGTGATCTAGCAGCTCTGTTCCAAAATATTAAAAATACCAATTCAAAAACTGATGTTCACACTGTCTTCAGAGGAATTCTTACATGTCTTATTAATCTGATTTATTTTCCAATCCCTGAATTTTGCCTACAAAATACATGATGTATGGAGAGTTTCCCAAGTAATTAGAGTGCATACAAATTTTATTGTTCCTTTTCTTCATGAATTGACCTCTCTTTCTAAGAAAGTCTTCAATCTAATAATCCCTTTCACTTCCTCAGCCCCAGCACAGCTGCCTCCTCCCCAGGGTGTCTGACACTCTCAGGATGTGGTTTTCATACTGTGTGTCTCACACAGTAATACACGGCCGTGTCCTCAGATCTCAGGCTGCTCAGCACCAAGTAGGCTGTGCTCACGGATGTGTCCCTGGTCATGGTGGCTCTGCCCTGGAACTTCTGTGCATACTTTGTGTTACCATTGTAAGGGTTCATCCATCCCATCCACTCCAGCCCTTGTCCACGGCCTGTCGCAGCCAGCTGATACCATAGCTTGTGAAGGTGTATCCAGAAGCTTTGCAGGAGACCTTCACTGAGGCCCCAGGCTTCCTCACCTCAGCCCCAGATTGTACCAGCTGCACCTGGGAGTGGGCACCTGTGGAGAGGAGACAGTAGAGAATCAAAGTGCTCTCAATTGCGAAAAATTTCCTCCTCAGCCATGCAACTAGGTGTCCCTTTACCTGAAGCTACTGCCAGCAAGCAGAAGATCCTCTAGGTCCAGTCCATGGTGAAGAGATTTACCCTCAGGGGCTTCTCTAGAGGAGAGATGTGGTTGTTGGTGATGCTCTTGGGGCCCAGACATACCCGTATGTACTTCAGTAGACCTCACATTATTTGCATATTCATGAGACAGATTATTTCATAGCTCAAAGCCTGACCGAAAATGAGAAAGAGAAGATAGATACACAACACACCCGCCGTACAGGAGTGGGATGCTGATGGTCCAAGCCTTAGTCATGCTTAAGAAAATCCATGTCCTGCTCCATTTCTATTTGTGGACAGCAACCTTTCACTGAAGAACAAGTCCCCACAGATGATGCTCCTCACTCTGAACCCATATGTGATTAGCAGAAAGACCACCTAGATCATTTCTGGACCATCAATGTCCATGACACCGAGCAGGTGCCTTGGTCCCATCGTGGTTCCCCCAGGAACCAGCACAGCTGACTGGTGACTCTGTGAAACTGACTGCTGATGTTCCACATGAGTGTCCAGCAGGTTCCTCTGAGATCTGCTGTGCGCTCCTGAGACAGTGTCTCCATCACCTGCCTGGGATCTTCATTCCTCAGGCTCTTCAATAAAAACACCTTTGCCCTGTGATACATAATTGGAGATGACTTTCTTATATCACAGACACTGGGAGTCAGAAGTTGAAATAGGAGTCTGTAGTTATTTGTGAACTCATGATCCCAAAATAACTTCCAAGGAATCTGAGTTATGGATAATTGTGGGTTTTATTTTCAACTCCATTTACTAGTATTTTGTGAAGTATTTAGATACTATCAGTTCATATCCATAGATCCTCACCTTTCCACATTGATTTCTGAATCACTAGGTCTGTGCACCTGCCACACTCTCAGATCCTCCACTGCTCTGTCACTTACACAATGTAGGCAACATTACTTAACAGTGAAATGTGAATTTCTTATTTATAGCAAGATAGTGACTCTCACGATTCTGCATCCATCGAGTTAGTAAAACCATCCCTATTCATCATATTCTCATTATTAAGATATTTGTAATCCTAGAAGCTCACTTTAAAAAATAGTTCTCAATGCTCCAAGTTACATGAAGTGTTCCACTGTGGCAGGATATTTAATGTCACATCAGCAACTTGTAGAACGGTTATTTTAGATGTTTTTTTTTCTGACTAAAGAAAACCAAGGCCCTGAGAGGAAACCTTCCTCCAGCTTCCTGCTCTGGGCTGGACCCTGTGCCACGTGGCTCCTGAGCGCCCCCTCCAGCCCAGCCCTTGCCTTCCAAGCAGGTTCCTGTTAGGGCTCACAAAGCGTTTTCCTCCAGAGTCTTTAGTCCAGCATAAAGTGGCCGTGTCCTAGTCTAGAATACTCTTTCAGCGACAGTATCTGCTGCCAACACTTCTCTTGAAACAATTGATTAGCCTAGCCAAACCTATTGTACTCTGCAGAAAGACCCAAAGGAAAGAGTCTATGACACAGGAGGCAGCCCCTTCTCTGAAGCTGCAGGTGCTCTGAATCAGTGGACACACAGTGAATACAGGAACTTGCAGGACTTTGGCAGGCCCCCATTTCTTCATTAGGTTCTTGTAGTTGAACGTTGCATCTGAGAATGCCTGTGGGTGCATGTACATTCAGATTATAGCATCTCTGTGTCTTCTCTTCCAATAGCACACATTTTCCCTTCTTCCCAGTGTCCAGCCTATAGAAAGTGACTCCTGCACTGACACTAGGTCTAGTTTTATGCCTTTTTATCTCCTAGAAATCCAGTGTAAACAGTATACAAGTGGAGACTTGGGAAGTGCATGCAGTTCTTTATTTGCCCCTCTGCTAGGAACCCTGCAAGTGCCCATGATAAAATAAACTGCGGTCAAGAGGGAATTGCCAAGACCTTGTCTTTACAGAGTTGATATCAGAGGCTTCAGATGCCTCTTCTGACCTTGTCTTATTCTCTGCCATTCTCTTTCATTTTCCCTATGTTCTCCTCCTCAGACAGAGTCTGTGCATTGCCCCACTTTCATCTTTAATCCAGAATAACCGTACTTATGAGAAGGCAATTTGTGCATCCTGGTAGTGTCACATGTTGTTACAATTGAATCTTAATAATTTAGTGGACTTCTTTCTCTGGAATGTGACATATACACAGAGTCTCTAGAGCCTAAACTGATGCTTTCCCTTTTCTGGCTGCAACATTATAGGATTCTTACCATATTGGCGAATTTGACCCATTTTCATGATAAAGGAAGGCTGCTGGGAGGGGTCTGTAATGGAGATGGACGACCTTCCCCACATAGATAAGGTGCTAGAAATGTCCTTCCCCTGGGTGGTCTGTCTGGAGAGGTTTCTCTGTGTGTTTCTCAGAGTTTAGGTGTCTTGATGACTTTGGTAGGAAATAATCGATCTCAATTCTCACCCAAAGAATTTGGAGGTTCCTGGAGCAAAGAAACATCAAGAGTGTGGAGTGTGGGGCCTCCAGGATTTCACACCCTCACACTAGGTCTGACAAGCCCTCTGTGTTTATGTGGTTCAGATTTACATAGAACAAACCACACAGCCAGGCTCATCTAAGTTTCCACATGCTCATTTAAACACACCAGAGCAGCAGCTGAGTGTCATCATCACATTGAACTCAGAGAAACCTGGGTCCAATTCACTGTTTATTGTAACTCAGAGCAGCATCACTGATTCATTTGAGCGGACATTTCTTCCCTGAAACAGCTTCACTACCAAGTATCCTAAAGGGTTGCTATGGAGCTGCTGTGGGGCTGGACTTCTTCCTGTCAGCCTGTCATGCAGGGTGTTTATAATGATGTAGACCTTTATACTTAGGTGCTAATCATTCCCAGTGTTGTTGGAATGGCTGGCAGCCCCAATCCTGTTTCTCCCCTCCACTCACCTGAATGTCTTCAAGAACTCCATGAACCATAGGACTCTTTTTTTCATGGATGACTCTGAGGATTGTCAATCGCTTTGTGCCACAATCAGAGGCAGCTAATGGAGGATTCTCAGTCCACTGATAGGTTGAGCCCATAACATAGGACACATATCCTAGAGTGGCCAATTCATGTCCATGGCAATCAACATTTAATTGAAGGGGCAGGATTTTCAGTGCATTTGAGTGTAGCATCTTCTTAATTCTTGATAATAGAGCTAGGACCTGAATGGTATGTGGAAGTGAGCTCATGGTTAGAAGAAAGCAGCCTGCCCCCAGGAAGTCAGTCTCCTTAACTAAAGCACCTGAAATGTGATGTCCTGAGAGCTTGTGAAAATTCATTTTCTGGAGTAAAGAAATAGGAAAGCTATTCTCAAAGCATTGGAAGAAACCTCATCAGAAGTTTTATCAACACAGCAGTCAAATTCCAGTAAGTCAGTACTTGGGTTTATGTTTTACAACTCAAGAAGCAATAAAGAAATCTGCGTAATTGGAAGGCTTCTCCAACAGAGGGAATTTTGACCTATTTAAGTGATAGACCAGTATTCACTCACAGACACTCTCCTTTGAGATCTCCAACTTAAGCAGATCTCTGTAACTTGAAAGTTTCTCAAAACATTATTTTTCTCTAGACATTCATAAATGCACAAACACATCTTGAATATTTGTACATGAGTGATCTGTAGAAGTCCTTGATATATTAATGAAAGTTTGTAAAAACATGGTAACTTCATGACTTACTATGAGTTCACATTTCACTGGTTTGAAAGATTTCTCACCCGTGTGACGGGGCAATGGGTGTCTCTGAAAATACGTTGATTTAAATTGAACATGTTCTCCACACCTCACTTGACTTCATGGTTCCTCGCTCATGTAGATGTGTCTATGACTGAAAAGCCCACACTGGTATTCAGCGGATTTTACTCTTATCAATTCATATTCTCTCTCTCTTTCTCTTCATGTCTCTGTATTTCTATTTTCCTCTGTCATTACTATTTATTACTGAATCATCCTCAATCCTGCCGACAGCCTCCATCTCACATTCTGACAATGTTCTCCCTCAAAGATAATTAGGGGCAAACTTATCCTTGTCCAATGTGGTAAAAATTTCTGGACTTTGACTAGAGTTATTAGAGCCTCATATGAAGAACCATAATCAAACATTGTTTTTAGATTATACCTCAGAACTAAAACTGTTCCTCACAGTGGCTATGATATTCCATATTCCCACCATTATGCAAAACAGTATGGTGGCTCCTTAATAAATTAAAACAGAAATACCATATGACCAGCGATCCAGCTTATGAAAATATACCCAAAGAAGAAGAAATCACCGCCTTGTGAAGATACCCTGCACTCCTAGGCTTATTGCAGCACTATTCACAACAGCCAAGATATAGAAACTAAGTGTCTGTCAATGGACAAATGGATGAAAACAATGTGGTACGTGTACACAACATTATTCTGCCTTATAAATAAGGAGATGCTGCCACTTTCCCACAAGAATAGTGGGTTCCCACAACCACTACCAATGCATTCTCTCCATTGAGCCCCTCCCTGAGAGCTGGGAGATCCAAGTCCAGTAGTAAGAACTGGTTGTGATGGAGTGGCCAGATGCAGTGCAGGTGAGGCAGAGGGACAGTGTGGGCTCTTCAGGTCCAGGGCTGACTCCTGCAGCTTCTCCTAGGACAGGGCATGTGAGTACATGGATGATCCATGCCTGTCTGTCACAAGTGCCTGTGCTCACCCCACAGACCCATGTCTGACATCTAAGACACACCCTGGGGAGCTCTCACCAGGCACAGAAGACACACTAATGCCATCTTCTTCATGAACACAACTCTGCATTCCCCAGGTACCTTAGCCTTGCCTGAGGGGAGAGCTATAGCTTCCACAGTCCCAAAGAATTTTATATCCTGGAGCTTGGAAAACAATTTGGGTGTGGCACTGCCTTGTATTTATAAGAGAGAGGGCAGAGATCGTGCTCCCCTTGGATTTGTATATGATTTTTTGTTGTGTCTGTTTTCTTGTTGACATGAATTACTTGCTTGACAAAAACTGCAGACATAATAGTTCATATAATTTGCTTTATTCTGATTTTCCCACCTGTGACATTTGAATTTCCATATCAAGTGAGCGATGTGCATCCCTCACAGGAGTAATTACAAAATAACTCTTTTACCTCCTTTGTGTTACTCAAACGCTGCAGTTTTCTTACTACCAATAATCTTCTGGAGAATTTGAAGTAAAACTAAATCATAAATTGCATCCTTAAGTTTAAAGTAGCATAATGTTCAGAAACACATGAATGTTGTTTTTTTTTTTTTTTTTTTTGCCAAAGGCACATCACTAAAACTTAGAACACAGTCTGCTTTCTCAAGGACACACATATTATCCCCATATGACTTGATTCATCAAAAGCCAATGTATTTTCAATTGTACCTTCAATATTAGACTCTTATTCATTAAATGCAGATACAGCAAAGTATTTTAGGAGACTGATGTGCACTGCAGAAACATTCAATAGGATGTTAAAGATGCCTTTCCACAACGCCTTCCAACGATCTTCTTTATTTTCATCAACTTGGAAATTCGTTATTTTAAAAGAGACATCAGAGGATAGCACAGGGACTCCAGTAGAACAACGATTTTATGGCACTCATTCTGTACCCACTGTGGACACATTTCATTCTATGTACCAGGACCTCCAGTCCATCACAGCCTATGATTATAGAGATGGAAAGAAACATTCTCCAGATTTTCATCATAGATGTGGCAAGAAAACCTGATATTTCTGCCTGTTGGTTTCCAGACCCAGGTGTTGTAGCTCCTGGCCATAAGGCACTATAATGCTCTCTGTTATGGGGCACGTGCAGCTGCCTGGAGGATAGTATTCTCCCCAAAATGGACTTTGTTTAGAGATTATATTTTCTACTATAAAACAGTGCCAGAGAACATCTGGTGGAAATCTCACATCCAACTGTGGAGACTGAAGTCAATAATTTCATTGTTCTACTGAGGTCTCTGTTTCTGGGCAAATGTGAAAGAGGAATGTCTGCTGGATCCCATGCTCACATTCCATAATCACATCTCCTATCCTGAAACAATAGCCACATTCCTTCATGTTAGAACATATTATGTAGCATCTCATGCTAGGAAATAAAATATTCAGCAACTCGGACAGTGGCAGTAGCAGCTTCTGTGATAAAAAGCAAACACATGTAGAGAGAACAGTCAATTCTTCTAAGTATAAACAACATCCTATCAAGTTTGGGCTTTATTTATATTATTCAAATTGTCTCCATATCCCCGGTGGGTGCCCCTGCAGGGTGTAATTATTTTGTTAGGCAAATGTGATATCTGTCACTATCACCTCAGGCTCAGTGACAGAGGCTAGTTCAGTCTAGCGGGAGGACTCTGTGATCAGTCTTCATCGCACATATTAAGGAAACCTTTGATATAAGGAGAGAAGACACTGTAACTTGAGTAGAAGTAATGATTAACCTGCATAAGATATTGTTAATAAGTTCTCAATAACCTCTGACCCAGCAGAATAGATTTTCCTTGCTTTCAGCTGCTGGCTCCTTTATTTTAAATATTATTTTATTTATTTAATTTTATTTTACATTCATTTCATCCTGTTATTTCCTGAATATTTAATCAAATCAAGTACCTATAAATTTTAAATTTAATCAATCCTTCATAGAAGTAACATAAGATGGGTATGATGAAGATGCCAAATAGAGATGCCAGAATATAAAACAAATAAACAAGTTGTGTATGTTTAGAGTGGTACCTGAGGACAGAAACTATGAGGAACTTGTGCTGAATTCCATATGAAAAAGGTCAGTTATATTTACCGGCCAGAATGCTGGTCATTTCAGTGAGAAAACATTGTAGAGTGGTCTGCATAGATCAGAAATTAGAAAGGGATAAAGTCACAAACTTGCAAAACCAGGAGACATTCAGTGTATTCAGTGTTCACCCCTTTTCATTTTGCTAGGAAGAGAAAATAGATGGGCTATACCTTTCTGGGAAATGAGACCAGCGGTTTTTAAGATGACTCTGCAGGGAAGTTGCCAATACAATCCCCCAGTGGTGCTCTGACACAGGATGGTGGAGGGACGTTGCCCTGTGGCGGTTGCGGTCAGCAACACGGGATGCTCAACCCTAGTGGATACCTTTGTCACTGTTTTGCCCATGAGAGACATTAAGCTGTGATGTGCCACATGCTGGTTTCTTACACTCAGATGAAGAGAGGAACATGGCAACACAGAAGATGAGTTTGATGGATAATACTGAGTGTCAAATTGACTGCACTGAGGATGCAGAGAATTGTTCCCGGTGTGTCTGTGAGGGTGCTGCCAAGAAGGTGGGCATTTGAGTCAGTAGGCTGGGGGAGGCAGACCCAGCCTGAACCTCGGTGGGCACCATCTAATCAGCTGCCAGCATGGCTAGAATAATGCAGGTAGAAGAAATTGGAAGGATTAGACTTGGTGGTCTTCGGCCTTCATCCTTCTCCCATACTGGATGCTTCCTGTCCTGGAACATCAGAATCCAACTTCTTCAGCTTTGACTCTTGGGCTCACACCAGCGGTTTGCTGGGGGCTCTCCAGCCTTTGGCCAGACTGAAGGCTACACTGTCGGCTTCCCTACTTTTGAGGTTGTGGGACTCGGGCTGGCTTCCTCGCTCCTCAGGCTGCAGATGGCCTATTATGCGACTTCACCTTGTGATGGTGTGAGGCAATACTCCTTAATAAATTCCCCTTCAAATACATACATCTATCCTATTAGTTCTGACCCTCTAGAGAATCATGTCTAATACAATGAGAAAAGTGAAGACCTCACTACATCAACCACATTTCACTGATGAGAACTTGTCCCACAGAGAGCAGGAAGTAGAGAGGGGTTGAGGGATATTGTCCGTAAAAGAACAGATGCAGCATAACTGACTACATGGAAGAAGGGTTTACAGGTTTGATCACAGCTTATGATGGCTTATGTCACAACCACCACAAGGTTTCAGAAATACTTTGTATTAACAAATGTAATAAATTATCTAGGTTTGTTTTTCCCATAGCTTTTTTTATTTTTTATTTCTAGGCAGCACCACAGAATGATGTCTTCAGAATTCTCCCTAATCTTTTGTGATTTCTTGGAAGAAAAGCCTGCATGGGAAGGGAGCCCTCCTCGTGTGCAGCCCTGAGGCTGTCACATCACCTCACCCCCATTGCCCTTCAGTCACTTGGTCAACATTTCTGCGTTAACCTTCCCGAAACATATGACATTTGGCAGTGCCTTCCCTATTTAAAAAACACTCAAGTTCTGTTTATCCCTGGAGACACCTGTCCCTTTCTGGAATACAGTTTGTTTTTGAGTGTGTAGTAACTGAAGATTAATAGAAGGTTTGTGTGCATCTTGTCATCTTCCAGAGTGCACCCACCATGGGGTTGACACCAACAGGCAAGCAGATGGACTTGCTCAGCTGGAGGACAAGTCATTTCCACAGCCAGTGACCCCAGTGGGGCTCCCACCCTCGAAGACCAATGGGACTCATGACTCTGGCTAATGTGCAGCCAGCAAGGGGGACCAGTGCCCGCCCATGAGAGGGTTTCTTCTATTCCCCTTCCACTTTGTAAATGGAAGCTATTGCTTCTGCCTGAATCTCATGCATGCGTTTTCATTTTCTGTACAATGGGTGTCATCCAGAAACACCCACAAAGCTTACAGTGAATCTAACGGAACTATAGAAAATCATACATGATGTGCCTCATGGCCAAGGTCTCCACTTCTCATTAAAGGACATTCCTGATGGGATTCACCAGAACTTTTCATAGACATGGATCTACCTCTAAACACTCAAGATACCTTACCCCCGTGGAAGGGACATAGTAAATCAGTAAATCAGGAGTCACAGAACCTGTAAGAAAATATAAATTTTGTGAATCCTCTAAAAGAGAGTCCAAATAGTGATAGTCCCACCCACTTTTCCTCTAACTGGCATAATTCCCAGGAATCCACTTGAAGGACCTATGGTGCTTCAAGATAATTTGGGCTTGGTATGCCAAAGGACCACCAGAAAAAAAAAAAATAAAACAATGCATCCATGTAAGTTTATCCATCATAACTTATTTATGACTCTGGGGCAGGATGGAGAAAGTGGGGCAGGCTATGCATGTGTGAAGCAGGGACACAGGGGAACTCTCTGCACCTTCTGTTCAATTTTGTTGTGGTCTTACAACTTCTATTAATATATTTTATGTGAAAGGAGTCACAGACATGTTGGAATACATTTTGAGCAGTTTTTAGGAATCATATTTAGTCTTAGCCATGTTACCAGCAATGTTGCTCCAAATTTTTTATCTATCTGATTTTAAAACTCGTGTCTCCACAAAGCCTCCATGGGAATGTTTGCATCAGCTTGATTGATTGCTGTCTTTACCGCTCTGTAAATTTTACATATAGGGTGATTATTGAAAGAGGTATTTCCTATACAGAGTGCATACATGTTTCTATTGCTCATATTCCTCATGTTTAGACCATTTTCTAAACAACTTTAAACACTGTAATCCCTGTAATCTCAAATTCAGTGCCACTGCCTCCTCCCTGGGGTTTCTGACACTCTCAGGATGTGGTTTTCACACTGTGTCTCTCGCACAGTAATACATGGCCGTGTCCTCAGATCTCAGGCTGCTCAGCTCCATGTAGGCTGTGCTTGTGGACGTGTCTGCGGTCATGGTGACTCTGCCCTGGAACTTCTGTGCATAGTTTGTGATACCAAATATAGGGATAATTCCTCCCATCCACTCAAGCCCTTGTCCAGGGGCCTGTCGCACCCAGCTGATACCATAGGTACTGAAGTCATATCCAGAAGCCTTGCAGGAGACCTTCACTGAGGCCTCTGGCTTCTTCACCTCAGCCCCAGACTGCACCAGCTGCACCTGGGAGTGGACACCTGTGGAGAGGAGACAGGAGTGGGTGAAGTCTCACTTGACTGGCCTGGTTTTTCCCTCTGCCCTGGGTCTGGGCTGCCCTTTACCTGTTGCTGCTGCCACCAAGAAGAGGATCCTCCAGGTCCAGTCCATGGTGAGGAGCTGTGTTCTGAGGTCTTCTCCTGAGGAGGGGTGTGGTTGTTGGGTGATGCTCTCAGGGCACAGAGATATCTAAGTTCACCTCAGTTATTTGCATATTCATGAAGGATGCTATTTAATAGCCCAATTACTGATCCAGTATGAGAAAGAGCAAATAGATGACACATGGACGACACAATTGTAGAAGCTGAGAGCTCAAGCCATAAATCTGTTAGAGGCCATGTGTCCCCGACACATCCCTGAACTCTGTGTTGACAGAGCTTCCCCCACTGGAGAACAAGCTCCCCCAGGACACGCACCTCACTTTGAACCCAAATTTGAATGTCTCCTTGGCAACTTGAACCATTTCCAGACTGTAATATGTGAACGCACTATTTTGAGAATCAGTGTTTATCCAAAAATGACACGTACTTATAAGGAAGGAACTCATCTGGACTTGCAGCTGTTTACTATTAAGACGTCTAGCAGAGTTTGAAATCCCCTTTGTAAAAATGGTTCTCCTTACAACATCCAGTTTCATAAATGCTTACAATTGAACAGGATATTTATATGAACATCAGCAGTCCTTGTGAAATACTTATTTTAGATATTTTTAAAGGAAGTCCCGGAACCTGAGAGGAAACCCTCCCCAGCCTCCTATCCTGTGCACCTGCTCTGGGGCAGGAGCCTGTGCTGGGTGTGTCCTGAGCACCCCCTGCAGCCCAGCCCTGACCCTGCAGGGAGGTTTCCGTCTGAGCTGACAGAGTATACTCTTACAAATGTCTCTAGCCCAGTATAAAATGTCTGTGCCCTGGTTCAGAATTTTCCTTTAATGACACCATATGCTTCTTACACCATCTTTTGAAATAGTGAATTGGCCTTAGGAAACCCAGTGAACTCTGCAGGGAGACCCTAAGAAAATATCTAATGCATCTCCCGGGAGCACTTTCATGGAGCTCAAGAGGTACCGAATCATTGGTCACATGCTGAATCCAAAAACTCTTCAGAGGTTGGGGAGAGACTCTTATTTCCTTTAGGGTCCTGCAGTTGATTACTGCCCCTGAGAATACCTGCAGATACAGGTGCATGTAGATGGAATCCCACTCCAAAGCAACTGTTCAAATCACACACACAGACACAGACAAACACCCACACACTCACGCACACAGATACACACACACACAAACACACACACACACACACACACACACACACATACATTGTGGCTAATTTTTACATTAATGAGTCCCATGTTTGCCATTTTTTTCTGGTATCCATTTCATGAGAAACTCTCCCTACACTGGCACTAAGGTTGAGTTTGTGTCTTTCTGCAAACAGAAACAAAGAAAACAGAATACAAGTGGAGACCTGGGAAGGACACGCACATTGAATTCACTGGTCCCACTTTGGAACTGCAGATGTCCCACGCAAAGTAAATTTGAGGCTAATGAGGGTGAAATAATTTTATTGGTGCTGAAGTTGTTGGTGTCAGTGGCTTCAAATTGCTCTATTTTCCTTAACATTTTTCTCCTCAGATAGAGTTTGTGCATTGCCACACTCTCATATGTAATCCATATTAACTAAACTGGTGAGAATATACTGTGTAGTACATGGAAGCATTACATATTCTTACAGTTGAATTTTAACAGTGCAGTGGTCTTCTTTCATGTTACAAAAAGTTAAAAGTGAATAAGAGATTAGGGACACAAAGATGAAATGCAGACTATACAGAAAATATTTGATGTCTTTACAGATATATGAAACAACTTGAATGAATAAGAAAAGCTGCTAAATAGCTTTAGAAATAATAAAGTCAGTAAGACTTAGAAACAAACTGCATGCCAGCACCGTCCTGTAGTTGACGATGATGTTCCACAAAGGAGCATAGCTTACCAATAGTGATTCCACACTACAGGAATTCTGGAATTAAACAAAAAAGGGAATGCATGTTGTGTGTTGGGAGGGGGCTCTCACAGCTGGAGCAGGAGGTTACAGACAGCAAGGAAGAAAAGTGAGAAATGTTCAAGTAGTATTGGATTACGGTGAACGTGCTAGTAGGTTTGCATGATTGGTATAATATGCATACAACAAATTAGATAAAATTACTTCATTGAAAAAAGTAGAAAATAGGCTCTGACCTAAATAACTTTGGAAATGGGGGAATTCTGAAACTCTAAACTATAATTTAACTGCAAATAAGCACTGTACTCTAGTAGGTAAACATGTTTCCAACTGCGGTACAGCTTCACAGTTTTGCTATTGCTATGCATGATTCCTGAAACTGTGCAGAAATGTAATATAATGGCATATGGTGGGATGGGGTTCCTCACTTTGAGGTGGGTGGTGATTGACAGGCAAGGCAGTCGAGTTAGAAATGTTCATGTGGTATCTTTGTTGGGTAGAGATATAAATGTGTTCTCATTTTTAATGTAATATAAGTTCACAAGATTAGATGTATAGTTTAGATGTGACTGTAAACATGGGTTAATATACACATTCACATTTTCTAGGCCAGTTAGTTGAGAGGTCCTAGAAGGACTTATATCCCATTAACAACACATATACGCAACCTCACAATTTTCTATTTTAACACTATTCTTCAAGACCAGAAGGCAGCAATCCTTAGAAAAATGGCTGATTCTATGTATGAAAAAGATAATACAGAAAATAAGCTTAGAATTTCTTATAATACTGGGAAGTAGTAAAGTGTTCAAAAAGAAAAGGAAAAGGTATCCTATAAGGACATAGGATCCTAATTAAATGAGGTCCCAGCTTTTGTATTGAAAAAGTTGTGGTGATTTGAGCAATAACTTAAATAAGGAAGCATGGATCGTTCTCAGAGTTAAACATCCATCAAACAATACTGTTATTAATAGATGTTAAATAAAGAAAACTCGAAAAAAAGACACATCTCCCTTACAGAAGTATTCAAAATATCTTAGGTTGATGGTACTCTTTCTTATCAAGTAGGTGAGGTTTAAACACTCATGTATTGATTGAAGCCTGAGATTATACATATGGAAAAAATAATCACTGCTAGTATATTTTATAATGAGTTTTTAGATATAATGTCAAAAACATGGTCTATGAATGAATAAAATTATACATATTAATTTATCCAAATTCATAAATGTGCACACACATTTTTCTGCAATACACACTGATAAGCTAGTAAAAAGACAAGGTCAGACTTGGAGAAAATATTTTCAAGTAATGTATCTGTTAAATGACTTCTTTTAATTTAGTGAATGACTTTTATAATGATTACTCAAGTATACTTACACCTAGTTTTATAATGCAGTAAAAAATGAGCCACATATTAAAACAGGCACCTCATTAAAATTATATAAAAAATTGTTGTTTAAATTTTTCATTAGGGATGTATGCATTGAAACAAAAGTGAGCTGCTATTACTGATCTATTAAAATGGTTTCAATGCACAATATTCATAGCGTCAAATGGCAGTAAGAATGTGGAGAAAAGAACTATTATGCGTGGTTGGTGAGAATCCAAAATGGTACTTGCACAAAATGAAATACATTTTGGCATATTTAACACAGATAAAAGTAGAGTTAAAATGTGATCTAGTGGCTGTGTTCCAAAATATTCACAACACTGATTCAGAAATTGATGTTTGCATAGTCAACCAGTTTCTGTTCTCTTACATCTATCACCTGGTTTGTGTTCAAATGTGTCAATCATGGGAGCTCCTCTCAGAAAACGGCTGTGCACAGGGGCGATATTAAGGTATGGCTGCTGCTGGGACTGATGGGAGCCTCCTGATGGGCAACAGTAATCAGGGAGGCACCAAAGGCCTCGCTGGACTTGGCTTGGAACACAGGTTAACTAG